CGGGGGGGGGGGGATCTGATTTGGACATTTAAGTCAAGACCTGAAAAATGAGTAACTGTTAGGTAAAACATAGAAGAGCTTTCCAAGCAGAGAAAATGGACTGGGTGAGGCCTCAAGGAGGACAGACACTTGGGGATTTTGAACCAACTATTTCAGGACAACATAGCTGTTGCGTAGTGAGCGAGGGGGATGGGGCTTGTTGGAGCCTACAAAGCTTATATTAAGAGGATTGGCTTCTAAGAGAAATGGGTGTGACAGCCAAAGCCCTCTCCAGTGGCCTACAAGGTACTTTGTAGTCCTTGCCTCTCCACTTTCTTTACCTCTCTGACCTCGTCAACTCCTCACCCCTTCCTCATTCCATTCTAACCATGCTGGCTTCCTCATTGTTCTACAAACACCAGGCAACCTCCTTAGGGCCTTTGCACTAGCTTCTTAGGATTCCTTTCCCACAAGTATGCATTCACATGGCTAACTCCTTCAACTGCTTTAAGTCATTGGCCAAATATCACTTTAATAAGGCCCACCTTGACCACCTTCTTAAAATTGCAACACTCCCACACCCCTACCCACTCATCCCCTTCACTGCTCTACTTTTCCTCTTTATGTTAGTATTTATCACCTAACATCCTATATAATTTACTGATTGTATGCATTATTTATTTCCCACTAGAGCCTAAGCTCTGGGACTTCCCTGGTGGTCCAGTGGTTAAGACTCCATGCTCCCAATGCAGGGGACACGGGTTCAATCCCCGGTCGGGGAACTAAGATTCTTCATGCCACACAGTGTGGCCAAAAAATAAAATAAACCATCTATAGACTTCAAATAATGAAATTAAAAAAAATAATAGTATAAGCTCCAGGAACCTTTGATGTTTTATTTACTGAAGTATTCCAGGTACCTAAAACTGCTCCATAAATATTTGTTTAATGAGTTAATGGGAAGCTATTGAAGGTTTTAAGTAAAAAAGTGACATGATCATGTCTTAAAAGATTGCTTTAGTCTTTAGAGAATGGATTGTAGAAAGAATGATGGAAGTCAACGAGTTTGGTTAAGGAAGTTTGGCTAGGAAGTGGAGGGGGTGGGTCTTGTGGAAGGGATTGGAGGAGGGGGAGGGAACATTCCTCCATATAATGGAATAAAAGACAAGGAAAGTGCAGATGGAGGTACATTCATTCTTTTCTCTGAAGGAGGAAGCAATCTCTTTTGATGAAAATGAGGTGTGAATTTAAAAGTTTGAGGAGAGAGTTTGAACCAGAGGCTCAGCAGGGACTGCAGTATATCCAGGTGCAAGCTCTGCAGGCAGACCTTCGGAGTTTGAATCGAAAAGTTGCTTAATCACAAGCCTGTTTCCTTATAACTGAAATGGAGGTAATCCTAGAACATACCTCATGGAGTTGTCAGGAGATTGAGAAATCTGGTAAAGCACTTAGCATAGGGTCTGACATATAACACTCACTAACTTAGCTACTGTTCTGTTAGGCAGCCAGAACAATAAGAGAAGAGTGACGATCAACCAGTTGTGTTTTCTCATTCATTACTAATGGATAGGCGGCTATGATCTACTAAATCAGGGGATTAGGAATAAAAATAGCTCATCTCCGTGCCCGCCCTGCCTCCCCCGCCCC